GCATAGGTCTGCGCCCGGGGTCCAAAACGGTGAGCCTGGGGCTGGCTGCCAAAGCAGAATGTGTGAACTTAACTGCTATGCCACTGGGCCAGCCCCTCTTAGGAACTTTTTTACCCTTCCCATTCATTATTTAGTTAAAATAAGGAGAGAGGGCCAGCCCTGGTGGCCTAGTGTTTAACTTTGGTGTGCTCCAGTTTGGTGGCCCGGCTTCAGTCCCCAGGCAAAGACCTACACCACTTGTCTGTCAGTGGCCATGTTGTGGCAATGGCTCACATACAAAAAGAGGGAAATTGGCAACAGATGTTAGCTCAGAGTGAATCTTCCTCAGCAGAAAAATAAATAAATAAATAAATAATAAAATAAAGAAAGAAATTGGGGCTGGCCTGGTGGGGTAGTGGTTGGGTTTGTGTGCTCTGCTTCGGCAGCCCGGGGTTCGCCAGTTTGGATCCTGGGCGTGGACCTGCACACGGCTCATAAGGCTGTGCTGAGGTGGCATCCCACACAGAATGGCTAGAAGGATGCACAATTGTGACATACAACTTTCTGCTGGGGCTTTGGGGAGAAAAAAGGAGGAAGATTGGCAACAGATGTTAGCTTGGGGCCAATCTTCCTCAAAAAAGAGAAAGAAAGAAAGAAAGAAATTTATATACACCATATTTTCCTATTCTTGCTCATTATTTTTAACTAACTTTTGCTTTGTAAAATTAAGTTTTTACTTTTCTACATAGGAAACCACTCCAAGATTTAATCCTTTAAACACTAATGACATAAAACTGCAGAAAATCAAAAAAATTACAAATACCTTTCTAACTAAAAGGACAGGACATTACAGTGTGTCCCTCCACTATATTTCACACTGGGGATATTTTTAGGAATAAGTAACATACTATAGTGCATTAGGGGTTTGAAATTTAACCTTGAACTGGACTAGGAATTTGAAAGATTCCCATAAGCTTTGAGGTGTTTTGTTCATTTCAATGAAAATAGAAATTCAATTGCTTTTCCTCACATCCACTAAAATAGGAATGCATTTGCCTTAAGAATAGCATAGCCTTTTTTTTTTTTTTTTTTGGTGAGGAAGATCAGCCCTGAGCTAACATCCGTGCTAATCCTCCTCTTTTTGCTGAGGAAGACCGGCTCTGAGCTAACATTTATTGCCAATCGTCCTCCTTTTTGTCCCCCAAAGCCCAAGTAGATAGTTGTACGTCGTAGTTGCACATCCTTCTAGTTGCTGTATGTGGGACTTGGCCTCAGCATGGCCGGAGAAGCGGTGTGTCGGTGCGCGCCCAGGATCCGAACCCGGGCCGCCAGTAGTGGAGCGCGCACACTTAACCGCTAAGCCACAGGGCCGGCCCAAGAATAGCATGGCCTTTTAAATGTCAAAGTTCTCTAGGGACATGGACACACAAAAACTGACCTAAAAATGGAAAAAGTACATGAGAACTTAAATATAGCTATCTCATGTCTTGAGGTTCTACTGCCTAAATGGAACAAAAATATAACAATAATAATTAACTGAAAAATTTTTTTAAAGGAATAGATATTTGGGGTTTTCTAGTTGAAGTAGTAAATCTGCCTTATAATTTTCTTCCCTATTTTCCATGGATAGGCTGGGTTTAAGTGGTTTTGCTGGATTATTCAAACACTGGGTTTGTGGTATTTAAAATAACGATGAGGTTCCAAAGCATCTCGAGTGGGAGCAGAGGCCTGAGGACAGTGGATCTAAGCTAAGGCCCCCTTGGGGCTGCACAGGGAAGGACTTGAAGGCCCAGTTGTTCTTCCTGGGGAGCCTCCCCCTGCAGGTGTCCTGCTGCTCACACCCCCCATGGAAGGAGCCTTTATACTGAGAGGATTGGTTTATAAATAACCAATCATACTTGAACACCTGTAGTCTGCATGTCTAAGGCCTGGAATTCCATTTGGAAACATCCAAAAGTAAACACAGAGCTCAGAAACTTACTATACACACTTAGGAGAAGAGTGGAATCAGAATTCTTAACAAATGGAGTGCAATACAGGAATTTTTTTTTTTTTTTTGGAAATTTACCTCTTTCTTGCTAGTTTGCAAATATTTTACAGTCTTTCAAACTCTATTGATTAAATACATTTTATCCATATTGAAAAACAGAGACTTAAATAACTGAGTAAATCTTTTCAAGGTCACAAACCCAGGGAGGGGCAAGACTGACAGGACAGATCACAGACAGAAAGTTTCTCAAGGGGAACCTCCACCCAAGGAGTCCCCATAGATGTCTGTGCCCAGAAAGATCCTGGGGGGAGAGGCACAAGGATTTCATGTAATGTAGTTCTAGGTTGTTATTTTCTGCTATCTTCTCAAGTAAAATATCCTGCAAATATAATCCTAAAAAAAGAGTCATCCATGGCTTTGGGGAATTATGATAAACGGTTAAAATATTGGGTCTGTTTGATCCACCGTGGATGGGAAATAGTTGATAAAGATGCTGTGAATTGGAGAGGGGAAGGTGGCTTTAGGAACGTGGGGAAGGATCTGGAAATTTAGGGATTTATTGCCAGTCCTAGCAAGAGTTAGGATGGGTGGACAGGCTTGTGGATTTGAGACTCTGCTCCCTGAACATTTGGAAAACTCAGGAGAAAACTGGTGCCCCTGGGGAGAAAGGAGGGACCGGCGACCCCACAGCCCACAGCTCCTCCCACGCAGGAGCCCCGGAGACCGAGTCACGACTGTCCCTGATGACCCTCCCCGCGGTCACCGCACCATCTGGGGACACGCGGGGCTGCGGGCGCAGAGCTGCCCAGAGAGGCTCCGGGGCCGAAGTCGCCGCGCGCAGTGACCACAGGACGCCCGGGGTCCCGGCTGCCGGCCCCGCCCCCACGCTGCGGCCGGAGGGGACTGAGGTCCGAGCGGCGCCCCCGCGGACTCGGGTCCGCAGACTCGGAGGCGACCGCGGGGAGGCCGGTCCCGCCACGGCCGGTTCCGACCAGCCCTCCTTCCCGTCTCCTCACCCGGGGCCGCACACTCACCATTTCTAGTCTCCCGGGTCCCCTGAGTCCTTCCTACGACTCCCACGGCCAGTGCAGATCACAATGTGACAGGGGCTGTGACAGAGCCACTAGAGACTGTTTAGGGGAGGTGACGGGCGATCCTCAGCCAGGCCTGAGAGACAAGGGACATCCACGCAGGTGCAGTGTCACACCACCCATCTGTCCCGGCAGCTCCCCTGATTTGGACAGTTCCCAAAGGCCACGCGTCCTCAAACCTGAGTGACTGTGGAACAGAAATGCACCTGACTCAGCCAAACCAGCTTCTGCCAGTGGGTCCTAACCTGTCCCCGCCTGGGTCACTTACATTTAAACAGAACTTTTTCCAGG